CACTTTTTAGGTATCTATACTTTACTCCATTACTTATTATTCTTCCTACTTCTGACTTCTACTCATTACATTTTCACACAAGTATCTGTACTTTCTACTCCTTACATTTGTAAGTAAATCTGTGGGATTTCTAGTGTTAGAACAAACGTTACTCGTTACTCTTGCCTTCGGATTAATGCAGAGGTCACAAATTAGAGGACGGTCCGTATAACGCAAACACTCATTGGTTAGCTAAAGGAAATCATCAGAAGCAAGCAGGTGTTCTTCAAACTGTAAACGTGAATTGTCTATGCCATGCTGCAATGTTGGATTCAGAAAAAGATGCTGAAATGTCTGAAAGGTCGGACACAGGCGAGAGCGTATCGGGAGATGGAGACCAACAAGACCTCCCTCATCCTTGGCCCTATCTCTAAGAAATTTTAGAAATAGTCAAACAAATTGAGCCTTTAATTCATATTGTGGCATCTGGCTGTTTTATTTAAAAGTTACTTTATACTTTTATACTTTAAGTAGTTTTTGGAGCACATACTTTTTCGCTTACACTTGAGTGAAGAGTTCAAGTTGTGTGTACCTTTAGCACCACTGCAGACAATGAAGAGAGCACATCCAGCCAGTTACAGTCAGAGAAACAGGACTACACTGAATTATTGGGCCCTCTCCCCTCCTAAAATCCCTCTGCTCAGACCCTCCATATATCCAGCTCAGGGGGACGGCGGTCTACTTTATACTGACTTAATAAATCCTAATCAACCCCTTAGTCCTTTAGATGCTTTAGGTTTTTGCCTCTAATTAAGGAGCCGTATAAATCCAGCCCCCTCAGTGTTATATGAGCTGCTTTTTGCGGTAACTAATTGTGGATCTGGCTCCAGCGTCGGCCCTGTGCTGCTGCATTAACGGATTTGATCGATTTCATGTAGAGAAGGGAGGAACTATGAGGAGGAGGCATCAGGTCTGCTGTGACTCCTTAGTTTTCCTTTCATTTCAAAATGTTTGAAAGTAAGGAGGCGATAAAATGGCTCCCTGCTGCCCTGTGGGGCGAGGGGGAGAGGGTCCGCAGCTGAACACCCCCTCCGGCTAGAAGCAGGTGTCAGCCCTTCTGTGAGGAAGGAATAATTAATTGACAGAGAGGGCAGGAAGTGAGGAGAGAAGAGATGAAAGAGGCTTCAGTTCAAAGAGAGCAGCCAGCGATCTTACTGGGCCTGCAGAACCCTGAGAGGAAGCAGCCCTCCAGTCCGGGTTTATGACCGCCATGGCCTGCGCTGGAGGTTCCTTTCACTGAACTGTTACTGATCAGCAGCAGACAAACATGACAAAAGATGACTGTGAGGTGTTTCTCTAGCATCATGCTGCTTCACATAAAGGACTGGATGCTTGCAGCGTGTCATCATTTCCCATTTATCGCATTTTCATATCTGTTTAAAAAACCTTTGGTGGTTGTTTGTTAACTTCCTGCATTGCTTTTATTGACGCATGCAGAAGCATGTCGTCAGTTTCTCAGTCTGCTGCTCTCACTTTAAATTAAAGATAGACGGTTCATCAGCCAGACGCTATTTTAGGCTGATATTAGAGGGTTTTTTCTTGCATTGGCATTAGCGTTAGATGCTAGTATGCACCATGTTTTTATTGCATTGCCACTCCCTCTGACTGCTACCCATGTTTAATGTTTGATTTTTAGACTTATCTCCAGTTTATTCAGGCTTTTGCAGAGTGAGAGAGAGAGGAAGACGTTCAGGCTTTTGGAAACCTCAGACTCACTGCAAGGATCTACATTCTCCAGCTACATTCTCCAGCATAAACACATGCAGACTTGTCTTTGTGATGCTAACTATGCTAATCTCCAGTATAAGAAGCTAAAACAGTTTAAAACAACCCTTTGATCATTTAGCTTTTATTTCTTTTTTTTTTAAACCTTTTACTCCCACTGTAATGAGCGTGTGACGCTTCAGCTGAGAGATCTGCTTTAATGATTTGCCAGTTCCCTTCCACTTGATCCTCAGGTTAACATCTCAAAGCAGCAGCTTCACGTCGGTTCAGAGGAATCAATCCATTAGTTTCCCCTCTTTTAAAAGCCGATTCAGTCTATCTCGGCCCATTAAGGCTTACATAAATGGTCTGAACGCAGAGCATTTTGTTTCCTCTGCAGTAGTCGACTTCGGCTGAGAGCAGACGGGATTAGAGATGCTCTGCAGACTTGGACTGAGTGCAGCGCTGATGCTGATGTGCTGCTTTCCCCTCATCCTGTCACAGACGATTATAGAGCCCATTGACAGGGATATCTCGCTGTGTGCTGCAGCACCCCGACTGCAAGCACGAGCGTTTGCTTTTCACTCCGCCTGCTGGTTTCACGCCTTTGACACAGATCAAACCAAATTGATTACAGAGTGCACAAAGCTCAGCCTGCACTCCTCCTGATTGCATCTGTTCTGCATCAGTCCTTACATAAGTGTTGTTAGAGGACTGGTGAATGACCTGCGCTGACATTTCAGACTTCTACCCTCACTTAGTAGCCGAAAGCAGAGGAAATAACATGCATGTAACTAGGAATTAAAGTAAAAAGAACAACTTTTTTCTAAAAGGCCACAAACTTTGAGTAGAGCTAGAACATATAAATAAAAAAGCAGCACACTCTCATTAAGGTGCTTCCATTAATTAAGAAATGTATTTAAATGTACATGTCTGTTCATCAATTCAGTTCAATTCAGTTTATTTCTATAGCGCCAATTCACAACACCTCATCTCAAGGTACTTTACAGTTCACCAGATCATCCAGTCAGATTGATTCAAAGTTCTCTATCTAAGGGAAACCAGTTGATTGCATCAACTCATTGACTCTTCAGCAATCCCTCACTCTAAGGATGCTTGTAGCGACAGTGGAGAGGAAAAACAGTAGAACCAGACTCAGACTCAGTAGAAACAGATATAGAAA